CCTCCCTATCCCACCCCTCTAGGTGGTCACAAAGCACCGAGCTGATCTCCCTGTGCTATGCGGCTGCTTCCCACTAGCTATCCATTTTATGTTTGCTAGTGTATATATGTCCATGCCACTCTCTCACTTTGTCCCAGCTTACCCTTCCCCCTCCCCATATCCTCAAGTCCATTCTCTAGTAGGTCTGTGTCTTTATTCCTATCTTACCCCTAGTTTCTTCATGACCTTTTTTTTTTTCTTAGATTCCATATATATGTGTTAGCATACGGTATTTGTTTTTCTCTTTCTGACTTACTTCACTCTGTATGACAGACTCTAGGTCCATCCACCTCACTACAAATAACTCAGTTTCGTTTCTTTTTATGGCTGGGTAATATTCCATTGTATATATGTGCCACATCTTCTTTATCCATTCATCCGATGACGGGCACTTAGGTTGTTTCCATCTCGGGGCTATTGTAAACAGAGCTGCAGTGAACATTTTGGTACATGACTCTTTTTGAATTATGGTTTTCTCAGGGTATATGCCCAGTAGTGGGATTGCTGGGTCGTATGGTAGTTCTATTTGTAGTTTTTTAAGGAACCTCCATACTGTTCCCCATAGTGGCTGTATCAATTTACATTCCCCATGGTGCCTATTCTTAACCATACCTTTGGGTCTGAAGCCTTCAGTACCAGCCCTGTTCATTTATTCTGATGCCCGAGAGATATTGGCTCCCTTCTCTTTTTTTTTTTTTTTGTGATGAAGCTGTGTATGTAGACACCCTGCCATCTCTTCACCTGCATTTTAACTATTCCTGAACACCGTGCATGTCAAAGAGAGGGAAGACAGATACCTGTTTTGGAAAACTCGAGACTTCTGTGAAGCTGAAAGCTGGGTTAAATGATAACGAAAAATATCTTATAGTCTTTAACTTTCTTTGAGTTAGTGAATTCTTGAGATGCTATGAAGGCTAATGAAATAATATCCATAAATTCCCTCATTGGAGATAGGAGGGGCCAGAAATATTCGGTCTCTAGGAGCCTAGCGTGTAGATTTTTCTGAATATAATATCCCATTTACCGATGAAGGCTTTTAAGCACACCCTGGTGTTAGATTATCTTGGTTTTAGGAGATTTATGGTAGAAACTGGGACTATCCCACCTGGTCTCAGGCACAAATGCTTCTGCTAACGGGAAGCATTAGCCTACTCTAGCTGGATATTACTGTTGTGTTAGGAGAATAGTAAATATGCCAGAAAACACCTTCGCAGTCATCACTGTTGCTCAGCAGACTGTCACAACCAGGGCCTTAGGCCTGTGATGCTATGTCCCATCACTGGAAATAAGAACAGATTGACAGCAGTAAAAGGATAAGAGAAGGAACCCCTGGGCTTCCCTGGTGGCGCAGTGGTTGAGAGTCCGCCTCCCGACGTAGGGGACGCGGGTTCGTGCCCCGGTCCGGGAGGATCCCACATGCCGTGGAGCGGCTGGGCCCGTGAGCCATGGCCGCTGAGCCTGCACGTCCGGAGCCTGTGCTCCGCAACGGGAGAGGCCACAACAGTGAGAGGCCCGCGTACCGCAAAAAAAAAAACGAGAGAAGGAACCCCGAACCTCCCTGTCTGGGCTCTGGTCTATTCACCTAGGTTTCTGCACTGCTGGTCATTCTTCTCTAAGTACGTACTCCCTGCCTCCCAGTGAACAAGCACAGCTCTTAGAATAGTCCTTCTGCTTCTTTCCATTTCTACTCCAGAAATGACAGACTCCCTGCATATCTACTAGGACTCTCTCTTACTTGGAATTTATGGGCCAGCCAGGGCAGTGTCCTCTACCAGAAATAGTCAACCCAGAAAGCATCCCCCAAGACCCTGCCTCCTGTATCTTTTTTTTTTTTTTTTTTTTGCGGTACACGGGCCTCTCACTGTACAGCGGCCATGGCTCACGGGCCCAGCCACTCTGCGGCACGTGGGATCCTCCCGGACCGGGGCACGAACCCGTGTCCCCTGCATCGGCAGGCGGACTCTCAACCACTGCGCCACCAGGGAAGCCCCTCCTGTATCTTAAATTGGTTAAACACTACCATCCCCTGAGCATAGGTGCAAAAGGGCAATGGAAGATAGAGTTTTAAAGCTTGACTCCAGCCCACACTGGCTATATGACCTTGGGCAGGTAACCTGGCCTCATTTGTAGCACAAAGACATTCATATTCATTGTGCAGTGGTGGTATGAGGATTAGAATTCACACATGTGAAGTTCTTGGCAATCAGTAGGATGTTAATACATAAATACCAGAGCTCTTTATATTCTATATAATTTTTATTTATATTCTTTATATTCTATATAATAAATACCAGAGATCTTTATAGTCTACATCACTGTCCACTTTATCTCTTGATCTTATTTTAACAACCTGAGAATTTTAAAGTCCTGAAAATCTGAATGGATTTCTCAGCTGAAATTATTTTTATTGCAGCTTAAAGATGCTGGTTACAAGGGTTTAATTGCTAAAGGGTTGGTACAACCCAGGTCTGGAGATATATCACCAGAAACCCTCCACCAAAGTGGATTCAAATGACTGCCAAGGTCATAAATTTCATTCATTTAGCTAACATTTTTTTTATCTATTATTTTGTCTGGCCTTGGTCTTGCCACTCAGGACACTGAGGAAGTGAGGTCTGGCTCCTGTTTTCGTAGGCAATGGGCAAGATAGACAAAAAGGGAAATTATTGCAATGCTTGGGCAGAGTAGAGGTAGAAATTTTATTCATTCCAACCCAGGAAACTCTTAAAATGATGACTCAGTCATCACCAGCAACCTTGAATTCACTTGGAGTAGTGACAAGGGATCAGGGCCTTTAGGCTAACAGGGGGTCAAGTGGGCAAAGTCTGGCTTAGAAGCCTGTAGACTTAGTCTCTTCATCCCCAGATTTAACACTGGATCTGAGACAAAGCTCTCCAGATCTCAGTTCCCAGCTGTTTAGGAAGAAAATGTCAACAAATCTCCTTTCTGACAGGTTTAATGAGAAAATATTTAATGATAAAGTGCTTTGAGCTCCACAGGAAAAAATGCCAAGGCTACACAAATTCATTGCCACTTTGCCACATCACCGAGTTCAATCTTAGCAATGTATACCTTGGAGGCAGAAATATAAGAGGTATAAATTAAGCCAAAAGATCACTCGTTTGGAACTGCAGAATGCACTGGATTCAATGTACATGTCAGCACAGATCTGCAAGCTTGCCTTCCTACCTGTCTGGGTGGCCCTAGCAAAAAGACCCGCGTTCCTGCAGTCACAGGGCCAGGTTGCTTTTGGCACTGTGGCTACTCCAGGTTCTTCACATTGCTGGAGGCGCGACCTGACAGTTCCCGACTTCATCCCTGAGCCGAAGGCTGCTCCCTGCTTCCCAGGGCTTCCCTTTGCTTTTGCAGGATTCACTTTGTACCCAAGCATGCAGCTTAGAGGTGCAGGGGAGTTAATGCCTCATGGGGGCAAATGTGAAAAGTCCCCATGGACCAATCCTGAATGGGAGCTGGATATAAAGTCTTCTTCTGTTCTCCCCCAGATGGACCAGTGAGGATCCAATAGCTTCATACATCCTCTCCTGCAAAACATAGCCATCAACTCCTTAGAGCATTTTCTTATATTCACTCTGCCTCCTTTCTTGCCTCATTTCTCTCTATCCTCCCTCCTGCTTCTCTGGGAATGCATTTGCCAATAAAGTATCAATCTATGAGCTCTTGCCTCGGGCTCTGTATTATTAGGAAACATGGGTGAAGACAAAGAATATTATCACGTAAATTGACCTTAGAGAGATTCTATTTGAAGCCTTTCATTTTATAGAAGAGAAAACTGAAACCTGATAGGGCAGTAGGTTCAGTATTCTTTGAGTAATATCACACACACACACACACACACACACGTGTATATATACACACACATATACATGCATATACACACCTATGTGCCTGTATTTATAATCATTTATGTATATGTGTGTATATATATATGTATACGTGTGTGTGTGTGTGTGTGTATATATATATATGTGTGTGTGTGTGTGTGTGTATATATATATATGTGTGTGTGTGTGTGTATAATCTTATTTATTGGCCTTTTCTCCCATCCTCAGAAATAGCAGACAAGATCTACAATCTCTTCAATGGCTATACCAGTGGGAAGGAGCAGCAGACCGCCTACAACACCCTCCTGGATCTGGGTTCCCCCACCCTCCATCGAGTCCTCTACCACTATAACCAGCATTACGAGAGTTTTGGAGAATTCACCTGGCGGTGTGAGGATGAATTAGGCCCCAGGTAATCAGTAAACTTCATTATCTCTTTTAAAGACCTCAGCTTTTTGAAATTTTGTACCTCTTCCACTATAATACTGCCTTCATGAATTTGCAGATATCCTGGGTGAGCTTAGCTGCTGTAAGTCCTGTGCTTTTAGACAGCTCAGTTCATACTGATTAGTTATGGATAAGCTGTATTTATGCTGTATTTAAGTCAAGCCATGAATGCATTTCCTGAACTCTGAAAAAACCTTTGCCCTTGAGTTGTTTTACCCGCTCTTTATCATGCTGACACAGCATTCCAAAGGCTAAACCGTAGGAGCCAAAAGCTTAGTCTTTTGAAAGAAAATTAGGAATTTTATTGAAGAGGTTATCCAAAAATATTTACTGCATATGAACTTTACATATGTTATATGCATTATACAGACGTATTTCGAGCTAAATCCTACATTCTCTTGAAAGGCAGAATGGGGGTAGCCAGTGACCCATCTTGACATCTAACTTGGCCAAAGTTAGGATAATGTAGTGTTTGCCAACTTGCCCTGGCCCCAAGGCTACAACTTCCTAATACTCAGTACTCCTGCTTTTAGGTTATATAGCCCAGATAGAGTTCTTGGGAAGAGAGGAATGGGAAGAATGCGTAGAGATAACACCTTTCCTTTGTTCCATTCAACATGGCTGTGTATTGCTGCTCTGAGAGGAGAAGATTTCTCTGGAAATACTAAGATTTTCAGATAAACACAGTGAAGAGGCTTTTCACATGGAATGTCCCCAAACTTATACATCCCAAAACTATTTAGGAGTTAATAAAGAAAAAAGAAATAGGGGAAGGAAGGAAGGGAGGGAGGGATGGAAGGAAAGAAAGAAGAGAAATAAAGAGAGGAAGAAAGTAAATGAAGAAAATCAATACAGCAGGATCCTCTGGCACTCAGAATTCTTGCTCTCCTGCCAAAAGGGATCAATAAAAGTATCACCCAAAGCTCATCCCATTTGTCTGATATCTGATCAGTTGGAAAGGAGACTTAGTCTCAGGATGCCTCGTATGACCTGAATTTATAAACTTTTCTAGAAGACCATTGTACAGGACATCCCCCGCCCCGCTTACCTATTTTCTTACTTTTGAAGAAAGGAGAAAATCTAGGATTACCTTCCTAAAATAAAATGATTTTATGTGTAAGGTCAGGAAGAATTTTCTGCGTTCCATAAATTATTTCCCAAAGTTTATAAAGGTTGGTTATTCTTGGGCAAACAGATGCCATGGCTATGGACAGGACACAGAGGGAAATATATAAGGGGGCTTTAATTTGTTCTGTCTCAATTTTGGTAAAAAGCAAACCCTGGGTTAGAAGGTAGATATATATTATGAAATAGCCTCCCTGCTCCATACCTTACCATTACTCCTGTCCTTATTATTACTCATACCTAATATCATCCCCTCTCTCCAGCTCTCTCCCCAATTCCCTTCATGCTCTCTCCTCCCTCCTTCTGACATTTATTGAGTACATATATGCAGTTCTTTGTCAAGGAACATAAATGTCACAATTTGAATAGCACTAACATTGCATACATCATCTTGACTTCCAAGGGAATTTGGACTGCTTTTAAAATTTCTCTCTTGTAACTCAAGAGTCAGAAGGAAAATTGGTTAATGAAGAAAGTGCGCAGGGGGAAAAAATGCCGATCTCATTGTAAAGTAAGGCCTGCTGCTGACTTGACACTGTCTTCTCAAAAAGAGAAGACTCTCAGGAGTCTTCCCAGGAGACTCTTTCATGTGAAATACTGGTTTTTTAAGGCTATATATTAGGGGGAAAATTGTAGTTTCATTAGCTTGTGGAAAATCAAGTTTCGCTCTTCAGTGTCATGGATCTGGGGGAGAACCACAGGAAACAAGAAGTCTCCTGCCTTGAGATACTTCACCACTTTGGAGTTAGTTGTGAGAATAAATAGAAAAGGGTCAGAGGGTACATACGCCCTGCAAGCAAGCAGAAAGTACTCCCTTGCTTCAGTTAAATCCAATTCCATTAAAATTCATGGACGCCTCCATGAGAGTTGAAATACCTTGAGGACAGCCTTGGTCGCATTGCTCTTAAGAAAGAAGAAGGCTCTGAGATGGTCAAGGACATACCCAAATGAATTATTATCTTTTTTTAAAAAGGGAGCAATGAAAATAGCCACAAAAAACTCCATGGGCTAATTAAATCCATTTGTTTGAAAGGATGGCTAGGATGTGTTCCTTTATCCACTTCTTCAAGATGAGGCAGATGCTGCCCTTTACTCTGTCTTCTCTCCCCCTTCGTCCACATCCCAAGAATGTGTCAACAGCTAATGACATGCGGCAGGACAGATTAAGAGGAAGGCCACCAAAGTCCCTGTTGATGACGACTTTTGGAAAGCCTGCTTGGCCAAAGGGCAGAGGCTGATGGGCAGAGGAGAGGCAATCTGCATAAGGTGTGACTTAGTCGGCAGAGTGTTTGATTTTCTCTGACCCACCATTGCAGTGGGAGAAAACTTGACTGGCCTCCGATGACCTCACACTCTCTGGGTCCCTTGACTTTGCTGCCACAGCTCAACACCTTGCTTCCAACGTCCGTCATCCCCGCCCGTCTCTCGCTTGCCCTCCTAGGAATGCGGTGAGCTCACCCCTTGTGACGCTCGTAGCCAGGACGGAAGAAGAGGCATGAAATGAATGTGCTTCTTGTTCTTGAGAGCTCATTCTAAACTTGGTGAAGAAACTTCCAGTTTCTGGAAAGAATTGTTGATTGAATTAGAAAAGAGATGCTTCCTCACGTGTGAAGTTAGCCTAGCAGTTGATAAATACTGCAAGGGGTCCTGTTCATTGAACTTTCCAGAACAGATTTTAGAGCCTCACATGGGCTTGTTGGAATAAGAGACTATTCTTTCATGGGTCTCTGGTCACCCATGGTTTTTTGAAGAAGGGAAAGAACACAGCTAAATGAGGGAATCCCCGTTCCTTCACTTATCCTAAGTGTTCAGAGTCAAAGCCAGGGCGGGCTGAGAACTGGCCATCAGGCAGTCCCATCTCTAACACCAGAAGTGGAAGCCAAGAAGAGGCCGTACACCAGTGAGCTAGATCCTGGCGACAGCCCGCTTCGCCAAGCTATGCGCAGGGGGTCTCACACCCTATTCTTGGCCCAGTGGGATCACTCCTTTACAGTGTGTGTGAACTTGGGGAGACCTTGCCCTCCTCTTCCCATTCTCTCAGGGATCTGCAACAGCTCAGGTGCCCTCTCATCACCTCATCTTCTTCCCACTCTTTGGATGGGGTTTCAGGGGTCTCAATGGCACTAGCCTCCCGACTTTCCGAGGGAGATTGCAGAACAGGGCAGGAGCTCGCCTGGGGGTTAATTAGGTGATGCGTGCCACTGAGAGTCTGCATTTTCCCAAAGAATGACCCTATGTCAATATGCACTGAGGGCACTATTGTTCATGCCCTTATTACACTATAATTACCTTCATACAGGCGTAATGAGTTACACTTGATATCCCCCAAAGTGCAATATATTGGCGGCTTCTACTCAGTTCAGAAATACCCTTGAAAAGGGAAACATCCAGTCAAACACATTATTTGTCATTTAATGGTGATAAATTACTGGCTTTAAAGTAAATTGGTCTGATTTGTCAGCTCTATGATTTGAAAAGAGCATAAATCCCCACTAAAGTGTGTCATTTCCTCTTCCTTATTTGTCCTTATTGCATTTTGTTTCTTTGTTTCCATTTTGGTGCCCTACTTTGCTCGTCCGTCCTTATTAATTAATCATTTCATTCATTCATTCATTCTTCCATTCATTCATTCATTTTCTTGACAAGTATTTATGGAGGTTCCCCCTCTTCTAAGTGCCAGCCATGGAACAGTAAGCAAAATAAACGGGGCTCTTCCCTCTTGAAGTTTAAAGTCTCACACTGTTTACCTTTCCTGCCTTCTCTTCTTTCTAACCTAAGCATCCTCCATGCTTGATCCGTAGGAAAGCTGGCCTCATCCTTTCTCAGCTTGGGGATCTCAGCAGTTGGTGCAATGGACTCCTTCAGGAACCCAAGATAAGCTTGCGACGCAGCTCCCTTAAGTACCTGGGCTGCCGCTACAGCGAGATCAAGCCCTACGGACTTGACTGGTCAGAGCTTAGCCGGGACCTTAGGAAGACGTGTGAGGAGCAGACCCTGAGCATCCCTTACAACGGTTATGGGGACAGCAAAGACATCTAGCGCCATGATGCCAGAGAGCAGCTGCCAAAAGGAAGCAGGAGAGAGGAGGGGAAATGTCTGGGTTTCTGTGTGGATTTTTAATGTTTTTAAGGGAACGTTCAAACCTCCACAGGCAACATCTAAACTAGCGAGAAGGTGATCCTTGCTTCCTGCAGAACTTCTCGGGTATCATGTTCTCCATCTGTGTGGTCAGTAAGCCTGCTAGCCAGGGCTTCCTAAATTTCTTCTTAGGGAAATTACTTTGGGGCTTGTTTTGCGGTTAATTTGTTTTGTTCATTTTTTGTCCAAGAGGTTCATCAAAATGCTCGGGTTCTGCCATGCTTCTCATGAAAGGGCCATTAGGTTGGTGCACCCTGTGCTCACTGAGTTCCTATGTCCCTTGCACCTGGGGACAGAGATGAGGCCAGAAAGTTGTAGAGTGGCCTCAGACCCCAGCCTCAGATGTCCTAGGGAAGCTCTCACACTAAGACCCTAAGCTCTGCTCACAGAGAACAACAGCAAGAGAACTGGGAAGGTGGCCCCTGTGTAGGTCTCATGGTTTCCGCCCCCGGCCTTCCGATTGCTATCTTCACACTGCAGAGGTGAACTTCGCCTCCATTATGGGCCCCGGTCGGCCTCCTGGATTTTTAAGGGAATTTTAAGGGAATTAAATCTCCTTCTGGAAGAACTCTGCCTTCTCCTCTGAACAATATATCTTTAAGAGGCAATAAAATGCTACCTGTCTAATGCACCTGCAGAGCAGTCTACCTGGGAGTCTGGTTAGCAGTCCACGTTCTCGAAAAAAAAATGTAGTTTCTTCTTTTAAAAAGCTCCTGCACCTCCAGGGTGAACTTCTGCAGACCAGTAGTGCATGTCGCATGCCCGGATTCTCTGTGGTGTCTGCGCCGCTTACCTTGCACAGATCCGTCCTGGCTGATGTCCGCTCTGGTCAGGACGGGTCAAGGCCTCCATGTCAGTGTTTTAGTGAACTCAAGTTATTACCCATCACAAAACACTTCCGTCCATTCTCCCCTTTGCCAAATTTGCTTAGTTATGTTGCTAGTTTTGCAAATCATTTCTCTGGGTGAGGATTCTATTTTCACCCCCCATCTAGTTGCCAGGAGCAGCAGAGGTTCCGTGTGGGTGAGCTCCCCTGACCACAGGTAAGGGCCAGGCCACTGCTTCTGCCCCGCTCCCCGAGCATTGGCACTGGCACAAGTGGGGGCCTGGCCAACGGGAAGTCCAGCCTCTCAGAAAGAGCTCTGCAGAGCCCTGTGGACCAGCAATGGCCTTAATTGTCCTCACACACCTCAGAGGCCTGGACACACACGTTCAGCCACCCTGCCTTTGACCAGGGCTCCTCATTTGGAAACACAAGAGAAAGGTCAGGAAGGAGATGCAGAATCTATAAGGCCTGTCATTGAGCCGTATTGAATTTTTTCTAAGTGGTTAGAATGACAGAGCTTGTTTATTGAGTGCTTACTGTGTGCCAGACGCTGCTCTAAGCACTTTACATAACGCTGAATTCTAGCAACAGCTCGTTTCTTACCTACCTGAACCACCATTTGAATTCAGGCTGTCGGACTCCAGAGCACAGGATTTTAACCCCTCGCCCTCCTCAGCTCTGCTTTCCATGTTGCCTGGACGCGCAGCTCTCCCTGGCCCCTGCCTCCGTGGCACAGATATGCCTGCAGTGCGTTGCAGTGGGAGGAGGGCACAGTGCATCCTAACCCTGCAGCCGGGGCGTCCTTTGGGACCACGGATCTGCAGCACAAGCCTTCTCCCCGCCAGTGCCTGAGAGTGAGCCTGTGGCAGGGCTGCAAGCACAGGTGACCTCACGCCCCTCTCTGCATCTTTCTGCAGAAAGATGGAAAGACAGTATATCGACTCTGGAATGCAGCCCCCTCAGTTCCAGAGCAAAGGCTGGCAGAAAACTGAGACCCACCTGGGGTCAATGCCGGGCGGTGGGTGAAATGCCTCAGAAGCCAGTGTCTCACCTTGACCGAAGAGGAAGGGGTACAGGAGGCAGCAGTGGGACCCCAGCCAATGGGGCGGGGCCTTGGTGAGAGCTGGTTTTGCCGCTGCTGCTCCTTTATTCAAGTCTGCACAGAAAGCTGGATCTGCACAGCAGAGGACCAGGACCTTGGGCCAGAGAGGGGGGCCAGGGAGTGGCATCAGGGACACCGTTCCCTGTCCCTCCTTCTGTGTTATTAAAATAAAGCACGCTCACGCTTTCCCTCCCTCCTGCCGTCTCCCCCCAGGTCCATCCTCATCTTTGTCTGCTTCTCCTGCCTGATACCCTTCCTGCTTAGCCCCGTCCTTCTCCCTCCTTCAGTGTGCCCTGTGCCCTCCACACCTACACACAGTATGTGCACACACAGCACACACTCTGCACAGGATATACACACACTACCCACACAGTACACACTCGGCAGAGAGTATATACACATATTACACACACACTACATGTGCACACACTACACACACGCTCTACAAACTGCACAGTGTATACACATACTGCACACACACAACACACACACTACACACTGTATATACACATACTACATGCACAGCATACACACCACACACACACACACACTATAGACTATACACATTATTTACACACTACACAAATACAAACTATAGGCACACACACTATACACATACAGACTGTATGCACACACCCTATACGTATACTATACACACTACACATAGGCACACACACTACATACTACACGCAGCCACAGATGTGCACACTACACATACACACACTACACCCACAGTGTATACACGCACACTACATACACACTGTACACACACAACACACACTATACACGCTGCACAGAACATACACACACACAGTATACAGACACACACTATATACACACAGTCTACACGCACACTACAGACACACACATGCACACTGTACACACAACCTCTATGCCTGGGTCCCACCTACTTTCGAGTTAAAAATAAGGCCAATATGAATGGAGTAGGAGAGAGTGGTCGGGCCCCCTGAGGATTTCACTCGAGGATTTTGCCCAAGGAAGGCAAGCTCACTCACACCCTGACGACACTGCCCACAGTTTGACTGCAGGAACCCATTCTGACTAGAAGGGTGACGGACGGGGCCACTATTAAACCTCGACTTTCCAAGCTGCCAAACAGGTCTTAAGGGAGCTGCTTATACCCACCAACACTCTGCCAGCCCTGGGATCCCACGAGGCCACTGGTGTCTCCTCCTGAATGGACATGGCCCACTGTAATGGCACTAGACCCTTAACGGAGTGTGCGGTTGTCTTCCGTGGAGTTTGGTCCGTTCATTACTTTCAGTTAATCGCACTTCTTGATATTTGACAATGTTCTATTAAAAAACTGAGTGTGAAAAAAAACCACTTTACTACTATAGAAGGAAGGGAGAGTATAGTGTGACCGACTTCAGGTATAGCAGTATTGTTTAAAAGAGAATCATTGTACGATTATACAAATGGAATAATCAACTAAATAATAAACAAAGCTGTCAGTAAGTGTTGGGTGTGTGGATGTTACCGGTGTCTTTTAATAACCGGAGTGATCTGGTTAGACCAACTGGGGAATTATTAAAGCTTTAAATGTTATACTTTCGATTCTGTTGATACATACATAGGTCTTATAGCCCATCATCTTAAGTAGAAAAAGAGTTAAATCCTTCACAGCAAATTATAAGCTTATTGTTAGGTACTAGCTATTCTCATCTTCTTTCTACCACTCCAAATAATTAGCCAGTGAAATGTATTTATTGCACATCTGCTTCATTTCAGACACTGTGTGTGGTGCGGGAGGTACACTGGGTGGTAGGACAAGCTTGTTCTCCGTCACCGAGAATGGCATTTTATAGGGAAAGTTAGACATTGAACCCATCATTACAAGGGTGACAAGAACTATGACAGAGACATACAGGACTCTGTGGGAGCTGCTGAAATTTGTATGTTGGGCATCTAAGAATAATGTTGCAAAAGGCCCTGCCTGACACATTCTTATCTTGCATTCTGTAGAGGCATTTGGGAGAGGCTGGCTATTATGAACTGTAGCTCAGAACCTCAATCTTTTTTGCCCCCTCTCTACAATGTAACTTTAAATAGATGTTATCTGTGCTGCCACCAGCGCATGTGATTCCCTTTAAATTCTTCAATAGCCAGCTATTCAGTGCCTAGGCACTAGTTGGCCCTCTTGAAAAGTAACCGTGACAGTTCTGGTCTGTGCGCGCAAGTGAGAATTATTAAAAGAAGACAGACTGGCAGTTTTAAAAGACGGCCCCATAAATTCTTCGACACGCCTCCCAACTAGAATGGTGTTCTCCTGCCTCTGCCCTTGAATCTGGGCAGGTTGATGACTGTTTTGACCAATAGATGAGAATGGAAGTGAAACTCTCTGACTTCCAAGTCTGAGTCATAAAAGGCCTTGGGGCTTCTGCCTTTTTCTCTGGAACTCTTACTCTTGGAGAAGAAATCTGAGGCCACCGTGCTGGGGCCACCATGCTGGAGACGTCACATGTAAGCACTCTGGGCCACTGTCCCGGCTGAGCCCAGCCTTCCAGACATTCCAGCTAAGGCACCAGACACATGAATGAAGCTGTCTTGGCCCCTGGAGACCCGTCCCTCTGCCAGCTGCACACCACCCAGCGACCTCTATCAATGTCACATGGAAGAGAAGAATCACCTGCCAAGCCCCGCCTGAATTCCTGGCCCTGAAAATTATGCAACACAATAAAATGGTTATTGCTTTAAGCCACTATGGGGATTGGTCTGCTAAATACAGGGGACCGGATGAGAGCTCAACGGTGTCTATTCCACCCAGCCAGTGACGGAGCATCTAAGTTTCTGTCCCGGGTGTGAATTCACCATGAAAAGAAGAGGTGATTTTACCCGGGCTGGGCTACGTAAGCATAACGTCCCTCTCACCACCTTGCAGCAGGGAATGTCTGCTGCAACAGAGAAGAGCAAAAAAGAAGGCTGGATGCTTCACTCCAATACCTCTCAGAGGGCGAACCTCAGGAACTTAGTGGAAGCCCTGGGAAGGGGGACAGTTGTTCCAGGGCCAGCAAAAAAAAAAAAAAAAGAGAAAGGAGAAGACAACTGGGGACAAAGTAGGAATATTAGAAGGGAAGGGTTTCTTCTAATTATTTTGCTTTTCTGCCCCTTTGCATTTGGAACTTCCTGGATGTGAATGTGTACATCCCACACTTAAAGTGTGCCAGGCACCGTGCTAAACACTTTAACTGCAGGCTCATCCTCAATCTTCATGCAGTTCTGTGAACTGGATACTCTCAGGAAAGAGGAAGCAGAATCTCAGAGATTTTATATAACTTGCCCCAGTTCACAGTGAAGTAGAAGTAAGGCCTCTCAACCAAGGGCTCTCTGACTCTAACCATTACACCATCCTGCCTCCGCCATTCATGAGTTGGCTTCTTATTGAGTTTCCTAGAAAGGGAAGAACTCCCACTGAGATTTTTTACAAATCGCTGGCTGGTCACCCTATGTCAGACCATAAAAGAGAATGTGGCTGGATCAATACAAACCTACCACGATTAGGAAAACAACTCAGGGTGCATAGCTTGTTTCCAAGCTTGTTTGCTTGTCTGTTTGGCTTGGTTTGGGATTTGTTTGGCTTGTTTTTTGTCTGTCTCGTGAGGATAATGCAGAGTCAAGAAAATCCGTGACTCAAGCTCTATCTGTTGAACGTAGCCTTGTGTTGGCTTTTCATGGTTCTTTTGCCCTGTTCTCTGTGCTCTGCATGCATCCTAGGTAACACCCGATACTTGAGTGAGATCTTGGGAAACAAAAACCTCCTGCCCTTCAGGACAGCATAGCTTGTCATGTTGATCCAGGACCCAGCCTGATTTTGATAACCTACTGGCTCCCAGCCCTGTTTCCATCACCACCTCCTTTTTCATTGTCATTTCAAGTGAACCAATGAATGAGCAGCTTAGTGTCAAATGAAACCTCAGTGTTATATAGAACAGCTGACAATTTCTCTTTGATACATGTGGGACTCCAGGCTTTGGCTCATGTCTGCACTATTCTAAAGTGAGGGGAAAAAAAACCCCTCTTTGTGCCAGGGCTTTGCAGTGTGTGCTGTAATTGAATTGATTCCTGTAGGAACGCACAGGTTTTGATATCTTGTTTCTTCACCAAAACTGCCTTTCCTTAGAGTTTATGAATATGTCTGTTCACACAGAGCTACCCATTAGTGTAATTGATTTCTTACTACCTCTCCCAGGAAGAAAACCTCAGCCATATTCTGCGCTTAATAATTAGGAGCAACTTCCTTTGTTCAGAAAAATTCAAATGTCAGGTAACCCTGAGGCCTTTGCTGTCCAAAGAGTCAGACAGTGTTCTGTGACCTACTGGCTTAGAGATGAAACCGTCTCCTGCCATGTCCTTGTGGTGTCCCGGGACCTAAGAGCCTGTGGATAAGACAAGGTTGGACATGCCTTCACCGCCATTTTGCCCCAGTGACTGTTGAGTGTAACTTGGTAATGCCCATACTACTCAAAAGCCAACTGCCTCTTTGTCCTCAGATCCATTCCCCAGCCTTCTGCTGCTCTGCTGTGTGTCACAGAGAGCTGGCTCTTGCAAGCTACATTTTCCCACACAGCCTTGCCAACAGGCTTCCAGCCCGTGGGACAATGGCAGGCACTTGTGGAAGATTGGAGGACAGGGAGAGGAAGGAAACCAGTGTATTTCTTCCTCTCTCTGACTGGATGGTGTCGTTAGCATCTTCTTTGTGGTTCCAGCTGCCTCTCTGGCCTCAGAACTCCTCCAGCAAATTCCTGCCATGCTTTCAGCTCCCTTTAGGTGGCTCCAAGCCCTGAGTTTTAGTAACACGGTCTTATCTCCTCAAAGCAGGAGCTTCCTGCTGTTGCCAATCTTTGGGTTGGCCCACGATTTTTCACATGCCCTTTCTGTTATTCCAAAGCCTTTCTAATTAGTTTTCCATTTTGAATTTTCTCTATTGAATGATCTAAAATGTGTTCTGCTTTCCTAACTGGGTCTTAACTAATACGTACTTCAAACCAAAAATTATTACATATCATATGACATAAAAGTTTTATAACTCTTTAGGATCTGAATGACAATCTGGAACATAAATTCTGATGACAGAAGTAAAGAAATTTCCATAAACTTGAAGATAGATCGCAAGGATGGCGAATGGGTTTTCACTTGAGTGCTAAATTTGATCAAGTGTAGTGGCTGCCTGTGATTTGTATTTTCTTTTTTTTTTTGGCTGCGTTGGGTCTTTGTTGCTGCGCGCAGGCTTTCTCTAGTTGCAGCGAGTGGGGGCTACTCTTCGTTGCAGTGCGCGGGCTTCTCATTGCAGTGGCTTCTCGTCGCGGAGCACGGGCTCTAGGCTTACGGGCTTCAGTAGTTGCATCACGTGGGCTCAGTAGTTGCAGCACGTGGGCTCAGTAGTTGCAGCACACGGGCCCTAGAGCATGTGGGCTTCAGTAGTTGTGGTGTGTACACAGAATGCCTAAAATCAGGACTATACAGGAAAATCATTTATGT